GCCCCGGTCCGGTTCTGACCCGGTTGGGTCCGATCCCCAGAACCAGAACCAGAACCAGGCTCTGACTAAAGCCCTCTAAGTGGGCTTTGCCCGCCTAGTAACAGAAAATAATGTATATCTTAAAAAATCACTGAGAGCGGGTTTCGCCCGCCTGGAGCCAGAATCAGTGTATTACTTAAATCTTTCTAAGCGGGCTTGGAGCCAGAATGCTCGTCTCCCCAGCCCTGTCAGGGCCTCATCGCTCAGCCCCCCGACGTCCGAGAGACGTCGTTTGAACATTGAACGGGACACGAAAGACGGGCCTCCACCATATCGGAGCCACGAGGCCAGATCTCGCACCGTTTGCCCGCAATCGCTGTTGACGTTTTAGTGAAATTCACAAAATCTTAGAATTTTCCCCTCACTCTAACTATGCTCGTTAAAGCCTCTGAGAGGGCTGTGGGGACGTTCACCGAAAAAAAGTCAAACTGTGGCCCCTCGTGATCAAACCGTGGGGCCGAGCGGCGCCAAAATGGCCTCAAAACGTAGCCGCGGCCGTCCTCTTTCGGCCGATGTAACTCTATGTCTGACCTAACCCTAACCCTTACCCTAACCCTAACCCTAACCCTAACCCTAAATACTTAATCTGGATTTTTTGTATTTTTATTTATTTATTTGTATATTTTTGCTTAATTTAATTCTAACTTGATACTGTTTGCCCTTTAAGCTGCTGGTAACCTTAATTTCCTGAGGGAGTCTTCCCAAGGGATCAATAAAGTACTGTCTAACCCTAACCCTAACCCTAACCCTAACCCTAACCCCCAGACGGCGCCTTCGGCAGTGAGTCGGCGGGTTCCCGGGCCTGGCGGGAGCTGGCGGGCTCCCTGAGCGCCGTGGCGAGCGTTAGCCCGGGGGAGGGGGGGCGCCACCGGGGCCCCCGGGACCCCCAGGACCCCCGGGACCCTGAGGACCAGGACCAGGACCAGGAAGACTACCTGGCGGCGGCGGCGGCGGCCATGGCGGCGCTGGG